AGTGCAATTCTGTTACTCTGGTGGTTGTGTGATATTAGTGTGGTGGTTGGGTGATCTTAGTGTGGTGGTGCGATGTTAGTGTGGTGGTTGTGTTTTGTTGGTGTTCTGGTTGTGTGATGTTAGTGTGGTGGTTGTGTTATGTTAGTGCGGTGGTTGTGTGAGTGTACTGTAGTGTAATTATGTTACTGTGGTGGTTGTGATATTAATGTGGTGTTTGGGTGATGTTAGTGTGGTGGTTGTGTTATGTTAAGGTGGTTGTGTGTGATGTTATGTGTGGTTGTGTGATGTTAGTGTGGTGGTTGTGTGATGTTAGTGTGGTTGTTGTGTGATGTTAGTTTGGTGGTTGTGTTATGTTAATATGGTGGTTGTTAGTGTGGTGGTGTGATGTTAATGTGGTGGTTATTAGTGTTTTCTTTGCGTGATGTTAGTGTGGTGGTTGTGAGTGTACTGTGTGTAATTATGTTACTGTGGTGGTTGTGTGATATTCGTGTGGTGGTTGGGTGATGTTAGTGTGGTGGTTGGGTGATGTTAGTGTGGTGGTTGTGTTTTGTTGGTGTTGTGGTTGTGTGATGTTAATGTGGTGTTTGTGTTATGTTAGTGCGGTGGTTGTGTGATGTTAGTGCGGTTGTTGTGTGATGTTAGTGTGGTGGTTGTGTTATGTTAATGTGGTGGTTGTGTGAAGTTAGTGTGTTGGTTGTGTGATGTTAATGTGGTGGTTATGTGATGTTAGTGTAATGGTTGTGTTATGTTAGTGTGATGGTTGCGTTATTTTAGTTTCATGTTTGTGATATTTTAGTGTGGTGGTTGTGTGATGTTAGTGTGGTGGTTCGGTGATGTTAGTGTGGTGGTTTTGTGATGTTAGTGTGGTTGTCATTTGATATTAGTGTGGTGGTTGTGTGATGTTAATGTGGTGGTTGTGTGATCTTAATGTGCTGGTTGTTAGTTATGTGTTTCCGTGATGTTAGTGTGGTGGTTGTGTGAGTATACTGTAGTGTTATGATGTTATTGTTTTGTTTGTGTGACGTTAGTGTGGTGGATGGGTTATGTTAGTGTGGTGGTTATGTGATGTTAGTGTGGTGGCTGTGTGATATTAGTGTTGTGGTTGTGTGATGTTAATGTGGTGGTTTTGTTATGTTAGTGTGGTGGTTGTGTGATGTTAGTGTTGTGGCTGTGTGATGTTACTGTTGCTGTTGAGTGATGTTTGTGTGGTGGTTTGTGTGATGTTAGTGTGGTAGGGTAGGGTAGGGTAGGCATCAGGATTTAGTGTGGCAGCACACATTATTGTCAAGAGATATTGATTTCCTTTAGGAGTCTTGGGCAATTTTTTCAAATGGCTCAGAAACTTCAGGAATGGTTTTAAGTGAGCTGGAGGAATGACTTGGTTGGGTTTAACGTCCACCTGGCATACATGGCGAGATTTTACAAAGGTATTGACGCTATTTTTTATGCCAGGCCAATAGTAAGATTGAAGTAGTTTCTTGTAGGTCTTGAGAATTCCTAAATGTCCGGACAGTCCATCGTAGGCCAACTCCATGAGACTTACGAATAGACTTACTACAATTGGTGTTTCAGACTACGTATCTAAGTTCTTTAACTCTGGAGGTCTATACATTCTCATCAAGGCTCCATTACTTAAATAAAATCAAGGTGTTTTGGCAGAGGGTTTGCCGTCTATAGTAATGAGTCTACGTACACTTAGCCAAAGAGAGATCATCATCTTAAGCTTCGATCAAATTTTCTCGTGTGATAAGTCTAGAGTGAAGTTTATCTTTGAGTTGAACTGAAAGGAGAACATTCGCAAGGGGGTGTTTCTGGGATCTTGTGACTGCGCATACAGGAAAGAGATGCAGTTTCTCTTAATCTAACGGTTTAGTGGGGCTTTTTGACAATGGTTTTTCAACAACATTTAAGTTTGGAACCACTAAACTTCCTTCTAAATCCTTTCCCCAAATCAAACTTACCCCCTTAATGGGAAGTTCTTTCTCTCCGATGCCAACTTCTACTTCGCCCTTTACAATATCACATTTCAAGAAAATTTTGGCTAGGCTTAATAAAGGTTGAGCAGACAAGTCTTGCAGAATTACTTTCTCTCCGGTATACCCTTTCTCAATTCACGGGAGGCTTTTTTGAATAAGATGCTTTGAGCAGCCCCCGTGTCTCAAAGAATTGTAATGGGAAAAGTGTTACTGTTCTTGGTAAGATAAATTTTACCCCGCATTTTAAAATCAATAAAAGGGTCTTTTTGAGATGCTAGTATGTTTATATTGGTCACAGGTTTAAAGTTCTTTAAGGTTTCTCCAGATTTAACGTGGGAAGGGTTAGTCGGGCTCTTGCTTTGACTTGCTTGGTCCGCGACTTTACATGTAGGATCACGACACTTCTCTAGAGGAAGACTTTACATTGGGTGGATTATTTCTATCTCTGTTCGCAAATGATCTCTGTATTAGAGCGAAAGAATCGGCTATTTGGGCAGCTTTTATGAGCTCTGGTTCTCCTTTCTCCTCTACGTGCATCAAGATATTAAAAGGTAGCTTCCGAGAACGTGGCTGTTTCAGTCGCTTCGAGCCATTTTTTTTTACAGATTCTAAGTTTGTTAGTAGCGATTTCTACGTATGTACTGGCAAGGGGTGTATGACCTAAATCGCTGTCTATATCCATCTGGAGTTATCGAGTAAGCGTCTAGAATACTCTTCTTGACAAATTCGTAATCGTCTACCGAATCCAAATTTGAAAATGTGAGGGCAGCTTTGCCAACAAGCTTAGCCTGGAGAAGCCAGGTCCATTCCTCTTTGGGCCATTTTGAATGTTTCGCAATTTTCTCAAATGTTCGGAAAGCTCCGTCAGGATCGTCTTCATTAAAAGGGGGACTAATGAAATATTCTTGGCTAAGTTGAAAGAACTACGTTTATCATCTACTTTAACTTTTTTACTTCAATTTTTTTACGCTCTAATTGCACTTCCCTGGGTCGTAACATTCAGTATGCAGACGACCTCACCCATGTCGCTCACTCTGAACGCAACCTACAGGCGATCCTGAACACCTATGCAGATGCGTATGCCTACTTCGGCCTTGAGGTGAATGCACGTAAGACTCAGATTCTCTTTCAGCCTGCCCCTGGTTCATTTACATCTCCACCATCCATCCAGCTTAACGGTACTACTCTCTATAATATTACCCATAACTAATACCTTGGTTCCCACCTGTCTACCACCGCGGACATCAATGAGGAGATTCAGCATCCGTCCAGATGTGCATCTCAAGCCTTTGGTAGACTCCATACCCGTGTGTTCAACTGTAGGGAGCTGAAATTATTTACTAAATTGCAGGTGTATCGAAGCACCTGAAGGCAGGTAGTCTACGTTCTCTCCTCCGAGTTTGCTGAGAAGACAAGAGAATAAATGCCAGCATTTTCATTGACAGAAACTGCAGGGGCATCGAGGCTACCGTTATCCATGAACAACTACCTTGGACTACCCATGGACGACATTAGACTGCCAAAGCAGCTATTTTATAGTCACTTAACGAATGGTAAACGTAATGCTGGGGGACAACGGAAAATGTATAAGAATAGTCTCAAGACAAACCTGAAAAGTGCCAAATCGAACTCTCACCTTGGAGACGATTACTCCACACCGTAGCGCCTGGAGGAGCACCACACTCTTTGTCAATACTTTCGATTTAGCTCGACCGCATACCGAGGCAGACAAGCGCCAGTGCCGGAAAGAAGCTGCCGCCGCCCCTCCCGCACTAGATGTACTCCTCTACATGTGCGACAGAGAAATCGTGATGGGAATGACGATGAAACTGTATTCGCCAGAGTCTTAAAACTACTACAATAACTAAACAACCACCTCACTAACTTCACACAGTTACCACCCTAATATCACTGCACTACAGTACACTCACACAGCCACTACACTAAAATCACACATTTTCCACAGAATCACCACACTAACATCACACATCCTCCACATTAACATTACAGAGTCACCAAACTAACATAATCACACGGTAGTGTGCTAACACAACAACCACACTAACGTCACACTTTCACCACAATAACATAATTACGATTGATTATACTCACACAGACACTCCACTAACATCACACATTTACCACAGAATCTCCACACTAACATCGTTCACCCACCAAACTAATATCATCACAGTGTCACCACACTAACATCACACAGTGTCACCACATTAAAATTATTACACTACAGCATACTCAAACACCCACCATTCTAACATCATTACTGGCCTTCTGGGACTATTCCTTGCCACTGGGTCATGCAACTCGTTAATTTAGGGTTTGGTTATTGTGTTGGCGACAGCTTCTGCACCATCCTCGAACACGAAGGGCAACATTATTATTACTTCGAGCTACTTTACTGCCTTATGTTATTATGCATCATATTAATTGTATATGTAACTGTCTTTGTGATTTTTTTATGTTGTTGTCTTAGACTTAAGTATAACTAGTTACAAGTAAAATATAATTATCTTTTTGGCTTATTCCTTTTCATCACCATTTGTACCTTTGTCAGAAGCAAGACTATTTGGGTATACTATTTGTTTTCTATTTGTTGTTGAGAGTGTTGGAACTGACTATATCTAACCGAACCCTGTATCCTGACAGTTAAACTTCCATATGGAGTAAACAGGTCATGGCGTAGGGTTCCTTATCCAGTATTATATATAGCAATATATATTTATAAACTTCTCATCTATCTATCATTTTATCAATTTACTCATACGTCTATCATCACTATATTTATTCACACATCTTTTAGTGTTCAACAATCCGTTTACCAACCAATCTATTAACTAGTTTATCTATTTAATCAATTTTTTATCTCTCAAGGTGTCCACGTATTTATTTATCTATGAATCTGCTTGTTTATATATCAGTCAATTAATCCATCTATGTGTATCTGTCTACCTACAGATCAATTTACCTATTAATTTATATATCAATCTATGTTTCTACTTAACACAGGAGAGAGCCTCGCCCTTGCATTAGCCAACAGGTCAGCAGTATTGTACCACATGAAAGAGTATCAGCTGGCGCTCCACGACATACAACTGGCTCTCCAAGTCAACTACCCAATAAACCTCATCTATAAGGTCAATCTTCCTGTAAATATATAAATATATAATCATATAAAAGGTTTGATAGGTCATTTGATATATATATATATATATATATATATATATATATATATATATATATATATATATATATATATATATATATATATATATATATATATATATATATATATATATATATATATATATATATATGCTCGCGAAGATTCCCAAGCGCTTTCGTGTAATTCACATCTTCAGGGGTGAGTACAGACTAGAGAGAGAAATACAAATCAAGGTGTATATATACAGAGGAGGGTGAGACCAGGTCCACAATGGTCAGGTATTAGGTAATGACCCTACTAATCTTTAAATAGCACACAACGGTTGGTGGTCAGGTCAGATGGTCAAGTGACCCGGCCTTCTCACCTGATCACAAATCTTCTTAATTCAAAATTGTCCAGCTTGTACATGCCGTTACTCAAATTCATGTTGAATGCTGGTATGTTTAATAAGACTATTATTCTGCCCACCATAATAAAGTCAAACAGTCAGTATTTTCAACAATGTTTTTACGTGCCTTGAGAATTTGCAGTCCGGAATTCATCGATGAGGAATACAAATATATATATAATATTGGCTCAAACCTTAAATACCCTAGATCTTTCATAGACAAATGCCTAAACATTACTAAGAAAACTTTTTATAGAACTGATCCCAAGCCCACCCATGACCATAAGAATATCTTAATATTACCATTTCACAAAAATTTCTCACACATTCCTTCACAACTAAAAACCTGGAACGTCAATGTGGCATTTAAAAACTCATGCACTGTTAAACAAATGTTAATCAAGAACTCCCCCAACAACACAATTGGTTGCATTTATAAAGTTCCTTGCAAGGAATGTAATATGTTTTACTTAGGCCAGACAGGTAAAGATCTTGCAACTAGAATTAAACAACACAAATACAGTGTTAGGACAGGCCAGGAATCCAATGCTCTGTTTGTTCATTTGAGGGACAACAAGCATTGCATTGACTGGGATAATGCCTCCTCAATATTACCATGTAATTCAATTGATAGTAGGAACATCATAGAATCTAGTCTTATTAAACATACCGAAGCATTCAACATGAATTTGAGTAACGGCATGTACAAGCTGGACAATTTTGTAATTAAGAAGATTTGTGATCAGGTGAGAAGGCCGGGTCACTTGACCATCTGACCTGACCACCAACCGTTGTGTGCTATTTAAAGATTAGTAGGGTCATTACCTAATACCTGACCATTGTGGACCTGGTCTCACCCTCCTCTGTATATATACACCTTGATTTGTATTTCTCTCTCTAGTCTGTACTCACCCCTGAAGATGTGAATTACACGAAAGCGCTTGGGAACTTCGTGTTTTCTTCTTTCCTTGTGGTTATCAGCATATACCTGAATCACACGCACCTACAGTGATTTTGCATATATATATATATATATATATATATATATATATATATATATATATATATATATATATATATATATATACTTCATTTTTAGTCCATATAACACGCAGACTTTGAACATATAATCAACGACCTCACCAGCCAGGACTCGAACCCTCCGACCTACTGTGTGGGACCAGGGAACGCTACTGACCACGCCACAAAGTGACATGGTCGGTAGCGTTCCCTGGTCCCACACAGTAGGTCGAGGGTTCGAGTCCTGGCTGGTGAGGTCGTTGATTATGTGTATATATATATATATATATATATATATATAATCAACACCTCAACCCGCCAGGATTCGAACCCACGGCCCAGAAGCCTATGACTGTGACCGGGGAACGCTAACCGCTGGACCACACCAGGATACTAAAAGCAGTCCTAGACTTTGTTATATTTCACACAAAGCCTGTTCAACGAGCTTATGGCGCCGTGAACCTCTAATGGGGACCACCCGTATCACGTCGGTGGTCAGAGTAACGTTTTACCAAATCCGGCTTCGAAACACGAGGATCCATATATATTTCATTAGCCCAATAAAGCACGTGGACTTCTATATACAATCAACACCTCAACCCGCCAGGTTTCGGCCACATTATTCACCACCTGCAACTCTTGTAGAATTTCCCTTGACTGAAGGAACTGTGGATCGTCATTCCATTGGCTTGGATCTTTAGAGACGAATCCAGAATCCAGGAGCGTGGTTTGAGAGAAGCAGTTAGTATTTGTGGATGCAAGGTTTTTAAGCTCCAGTGATGGAATTTCCTCTTCTGTCACTTTCAGCTTCTTTGGACATTCCTTTTTCTCGTTCTTTCCCTTCATTGACTCAAGGATTTCTCTTTTCTCAGCCTACGAAACACTATCACTGAAGAGAGCCAGAGCTACTGACTCCTCACTTAAATACCAGAGATGCCGCTGGAAAGCCTTTGTTGCTGCCATTCCAACTGATTCATCTATTTTCTCACCATAGTAATGAAGTTCTTTGAGGAAGGATATATCATTGCTTGGAGCTTCAAACACTTCAGGAGCTTTGAACCACATTGGACCGTACACAAGAGCAACAAAAAGGGCCATGGTCTGATCCTTGATAGTTAGCTGGAACTGGGGCTGAAACATGAATATCTGGAGAGAGCATAATGCTTTAGACATCCAACGAGCATGGTGTACTGGGCCAGGCTTTCCAAAACGAATCCCTCGGGGCGGAGTCCCACCCAGGAATATCACACAAAGTTCCGTAAGTCGGAGGTAATCGTCCCGGGGCTGAGTCTGCTTGAGAGCCTTCATATAGTAGTCGATAACTTTTTGCTCCCATTCAGAATTTTCCTTCAACACTGCAGTGATATACCCATTAGTCTCTCCCGTCTTGAACTCCAACTGCTTGATTTGATGCCACTGCTTTTTAAACCTCTGGAACAAGAGAACATCAGGACCACTAGATGACCCATGAACGGCTTTGAAGACATCTCTAAGAACAATTTCCAAGATATGGTGTCTGCGAGGAAGGTATAGGAGATTTCTTCCCAATGTCTCTTCAATCAACGTACAAGCTCCACGAACATGACCAGTGTTAGCGGCAGTGGTGTCAAATCACATGGCGACAACCCGGTTATCGACATTCCAATCTTTCAAAGTATCCACTACAGCATTAGCTTGCGCCACTCCCGTTCCTGATAATAGGTGTAGAACGCCCAATAACTGGACATACCCTACTGAAGAGGATACAACTTTCCCTGAGATCAGTATTGAGAGTCGTTCAACAGATTCCTCTCCTGTTAGAGATGGAAGGAGCTTACCATCCCAATGAACCACAATTCCAGTCTTGGCTCCAGAGGATATGACAGTTTGCTTCACAGAAGCAGTGTGATCTCTGCGATATCGGATACGGGCTCTGGTGATTGTGGAACGGCTGATGGGCAGCTCACCAATGTTCCTTCCAAGGTCTGCTGGAGTAACTGCCACAATATATATATATATATATATATATATATATATATATATATATATATATATATATATATATATATATATATATATATATATATATATATATATATATATATATATATATATATATAGATATTGATATAGATATAGATATAGATATGGATATATAGATATAGATATAGATATATATATAGATATATATATTGATATAAATATAGATATAAATATATATATAAAAATATATATATAAAAATATATATATAGATATATATATAAATATATATATAAAAATATATGTACATATAGCCAAATCTATACACTTCAGGCAACTCTTTCACTGAGTTCAAGATTTCTTAAGAGCATTATAGGAGTTCCAATCTTGAGAGTGAGGTGGTGAGGAAGCATTCCAGCCGGCTCCAAAGAATTTAGGAATTATGCATGGTACTGGACTGCTTGGTCCTGGTCGATTACTGTATCAACGGATTTGAATGAGGTCTCACTGCCTGGAAGCTGTCTGAGTAGAGTCATGTTGATTTCAACCACTGTTTCATTCTTTGGTGCCAGAATTGCGCGTTCACGCAGCCACTTGTGATCCTTGTAGTGGTGGATAATGTTTGGGTAGACCATGTTAGTGAGCTCAGTTGAGGACTTTACAACATTTCCACATCCTTTTCAACCTCTGTGTGGTTTAACGGGTCGGATCGGGTAGGTTGTTTTTTTTTTAGATCCCCACATGACACTTGCTATCCATGCCAAGTTTTTTACGGGCGGCTCATTCGCTAGGCCACTGTAGGACGCCACCCTCTGTCTTCCATCAATAGTTCATTAACGGTGTATGTAAGCTCCACTACAACGGTACAGCAAAGTATATTTTTTAGCATTAAACTGTTATTAATTTATTGTCTAATCATCACTACATATAACACCACCCATCATCACTACATATAACACCACCCATCATCACTACATATAACACCACCCATCATCACTACATATAACATCATCAATCATCACTACATATAACACCATTCATCATCACTACATATAACACCACCCATCATCACTACATATAACACCACCTATCATCACTACATATAACACCACCCATCATCACTACATATAACATCATCAATCATCACTACATATAACACCATCCATCATCATCACTACATATAACACCATCCATCATCACTACAGATCGGTAAAGTAGGTTCCGAGATTCTCGTGCGGACACACAAACACACATACTTCTTTGTTATATATATGGTGAGGTGACCCGGTGAGAAGGCCGGGTCACCTGACCATCTGACCTGACCACCAACCGTTGTGTGCTATTTAAAGATTAGTAGGGTCATTACCTAATACCTGACCATTGTGGACCTGGTCTCACCCTCCTCTCTATATATACACCTTGGTTTGTATTTCTTAGTCTGGTATCATTTCGAAGACAGATTGTTAGAATCAGTTTTCTTTCCTTGTATATATATATATATATATATATATATATATATATATATATATATATATATATATATATATATATATATATATATATATATATATATATATATATATGCAAGTAAATCACTGTAGGT